AAGTGCGTTGAAGTTCCACAAAGGGATGAATGAAGGACATGCATATTGTATTGAAGCAATAAGTGTTGCGATGCTGTTATTTGCATTTACCATGTCAGACCTTTTGATAAACAAAATTCTAATGAAAGTGAGAACATGTATGTTACATCTTTCAGAAAATGTTTTGAAATTGTGGTGCACAGCTCAGAATAAATGTTTTTCAAAAACCATTGCATCTTTTTAGTAAATGTTTATTTCCAAAAGAAATTTCTAGAAGTTCAGAACAGTAAAATTCCCGCTTTTTAGAATGAATTAGAAGATAACTCTTACGTAGTTAAACTAAAATACTCTTTGAGAGTTAATATATAAACTCTTAACACCAAGTGTTAAATTATCAACTCCAGACAGATTTGGTGTTTAACACTAAATCAGAGTTAACGTACCAACTCTCCAAAAAGAGTTAAATTAACACTCTCTGGTGTGGACCCATATAGATACTTTAATAGTGTTGAAATCAAATCCGACAGTGTTAATTTGGACATGCTGGATTTGCTTTGTACCATTGTGCTAGCCTTCACCAGTGCACATAACACTGAAAAGTTTTGGCCAAACTAACATCATAACAATTCACGGCATTGCTTCAGCCCTATTAAAGTGGATTCAGATAACCTTGTTTTTTAAGTACCAAAAAGGTATTAGCCTTTTTTTAAGGGGAAATAAAAAACTCTGTAAGGACACTTCATGGACTTTGTAAAAAGATCTGTATTTAACATAAACTTGATCAAAACTATTGTTTGTAGTTGTTGTTTTGGTGCTTTTTTTGAACTAACAAAGCAAATGATTATCGTTATCACCATCATCACAACCACAGGAAAATTGTGCAATACTGGTATTTTGCATTCAGATATATAGAAGCAACAGTATATACAGATATAGGCACAATAAAGGTTTGCAAAGGTTTCCACAATGTACAGACTAATAGAAAACTAAACTTAATCACTTATGATTATGTAGAAGTGAGTAGTAGGGTTATTGTGTGTAGATACCCCATCAAACACCTATTGTGTGTCATATTTTTATGTCATTTTGCTGTGTTTGGGCAGTGGGTGTGCAGTCAAATATGAGGATTCTATAAAAACATCTCATCTCTAGGATTTCAGATTTTCTTTCTGTGTAATGGATGCATAAACAAAGTTCCAGTAGTAGTTTTTTTTTAGACAAACAGACAGAAACAATTGCATATATGACTTTAACTTTGAGTTTGTGCACTTCTACATATGTGTATAGTATTTACTTAAGGTTATACACCGTGGTAAAACCATGAAACAGACAAGGGTTAATAACTTCAGCAAATTTGCTTGTTTGCCTGACTAAACTCACTTCTGTGTTCCTTCTTTTTAGATGTTTATATAATTAGTTTTTATTTAGAATGAGAATTTAATTCACACCTCCTTTTAAAGTTGTTGTGGGCATGAAAGGCGTAAGAAAGCTTCAGATAAAATACAATCACAAAAGGCAGTTATTGAGCCAGAATTTGAAATAGCTTGGATAAAAGGAAAAAAGGGGTGAAATAAGTTTAACATATTTTCCATCAATTTGCAGTTCCAAAGATGTCACCTTTTCTCAATTACTTGGTTTAGGTCTGCTTCTCTGGCATTACAAACAGAATCAGCCGGTGTACAGGGAGCTTCTGGAACATTAATTATTCATTGATTCTCCTCTTAACCTTTCTATGAAAAGTGTGTCTTCTGGTGCTGGTTCTTTGAGCCCTCAGGGCTACCTGGCTGTAGAAACACTGAATCCCCATTAAACCTTCAGCCTTGTTCAGTGTTATTCACTTTCACATACATTATCAGCAACATGTCCTGGCTTTCTTCAGAAAATAAAGTCCATTTGGAACACATGTAAAAGTGGTCTAAAAGATTAATTGGACAGCTATGAGCGTACTTCCCAACAAAGTTTTGGTGCAGAGTAATTTATGAGGTTTAAAAGGCATGTAAAACACTTTCTGTTTAAAAAAAAATCTGCCACTGGGACTGGCTGAAGTATGCAGTGTAAAATATAGATGATCCCAGATATATGGTAAAACCATCACTGTCTGAATCCATTCAGTTGGACTCATGTTATCGATTGTTTTTCTTTCTTGTGTCTCCATGACTCCCCACTATGTCTTGGTACAATTTAATAATTTCCCTTTTCTCACGTTTTTCCTATCTTGATATGTACTCCATGATTTCATTTGACATATATGTGCCCTTTAATTCTGACTGATGGCCTCGGTCAGCTCCGGTTCACGAGAAGCATCCCAACTGCTCCTTCTTTTCTCTATCTTTTTCTCTACAGCGTCATTGCTTTTTTTGTCTATATCTACTGTTGCAATGTTTGCCCTCTAATTGGCTTTTTATGTATATTATGCCCCCCCCCCCGAGTCTGGTTAGCATCTCATTAGCATATCCACTTGACCCCAGGGTAACCAGTGCTGCCTGGTTTTCAATTACCATATTCCTTCCAATCTTATACATTTGTCCCTTCCTTCTGTTACTCTCATCCTTTCCCACTTTTATTTTGTTTAACTTCTATATTCCCCATTTGTGCCTTCTTCTGATTTCTCCACCTTTACCTTTTTTGTTATATAATGTATTATCCTCCTTTGGCTCTACTGGATTTGTAATCCTCTTATTTGGTATATTTTCTGTTAGCCTGGGTTAGCCTCTAATTAGCATTTCAAACTGACCCAGTACCCTGCCTGACTTTATATTTTTGCCTGAGTACTCTTTTGCTTGCTTAAAATGGTTACAATGTTATATTTGACTAGCAATAAGGTATCTGTCAGTTTTCTCTCAGGGCATTTTTATCTGTTCATCAAGCTTAATGTTCAAAATTCAACAGCTGTTCAATAGTAACAGGTTATGAACAATTCTTTACTTTAGCAAATGCAAGTTGAGAGCATCCTTGTTGCATTTAGACAATATTTTGTCCTTTTTCTCTCTCTCTCTCTGTGGAACAGTATGATTTTACATGACATTGTGCTTGATTCAAGCTTTTTGCTAACTAATGATTTTAGTCTAAGGAGCTTGGAAAGAAAAACACCTGGACTTCTTTAAGTTTCCTTGAAGATGTTTCACCTCTGATCCGAGAAGCTTCTTCAGTTCTAAGCGCAATTGATGGAGAATCCCAGATTTTAAGCCCTATGGGAGTGTCCCCAAGAGGGTCATGGACCCCCTATTGATCCTCTAACTAATCACACGAGCCAAAGTGTGAAAATGGGTGTGGGTCACTATCAGCCAAGGTTTTAGGTGAACTCATTTTGAGACCATGCCCTACCATATCATGTGACTTACTGAGATCAAATGACCCTAGATATGAGTGAGCACTGAGGCATCTGGGACGGGATCTCAAAACTGAATTATAGATTGCAGACAGCTGGTGTTGTAAGACAGCCCCTCTGTTCAAAGATGGTCTTCCACGACCCTCTTAGGAACATTCCCAATAGGGCTTAAAAATCTGGGACTCTCCATCGATTGCTCTTAGATCTGAAGAAGCTAGAGGTGAAATGTCTTCAAGAAAGTCAAAGAAGTCCAGGCTCTTTTAATTCCAAGCTCCTTAGACTACTATGACCTGGATGGCTGAGAAGCTTCACAGACAACAAATAATTTTAGTTTTACACAAGCAAGTAATCTACCTGAGAACCTGACCTTGTTCAGTGCTATGGTATTTCATTTTAGTGGATGTTTGGTCGATATTAAAACACAACTTTTTATTTTAGGAATGGAGACGGTACAGATTTGTAAAGCATCAAACAATCTCCAGTAGCTATATATTCCTTCCAAACACAGTATTACGTTTTGTAAAAAAAGAAAAAAAGAAAATCTCAGTTTTTAATGTCTAAAACAGAAGGACCAAGTGAACATATTGTCTAAATGTATTTCATCACACTCCCGTGCAGCGTTTAGTTTTGAAGTGTATGCAGTTTATAATAAATACTGATAATTATTGATCTCTTAACGCACTATAAAGTGGTTACTGGAATGCATTTGCAAGTGTGTCATTATTTTCTAATTTGACTGGTAACAGAAAATAATCCTCACACTATTTAGTTTTTTCTCTAATTTTGCTGCCAAGTTAATGTATGTTTTAAACCAAAACCAACTTTTTGGGAAAATAAAAAACAACCTGTGACACAAAAATCACAAATGTAAAAGCAATATGAAGGATATGAAGGTTAGAGAGGAATGGGAGAATTGATGGAACAGTATAGAAAACTAGAGAAAGTAACAGAAAGAAAGGCTGGTGATGGTGCAAGCCAGTGTGCAAGTAAACAACGATACAGAAAGCTTTTTATATCTGCTAAATGGGTTATATAATACAGTTTTAAATATATATAAGTCTCTGGGGAATAGTATAATTCTCATTTATTTGTCTTTAAGGATTATAAGATTAAATATGTCGCCAGGTTTAATACAAAATTTTTGACCTTTTATATCGCCAGAAGAAATGACTATAAATCTGTAGGTTTTGCGATATGTTTTTAACCTGAAATGTTTGTTAAAAATTTTAAATCTTAGACTTTTTTTGTTGTTGTTGCAAGAAACAAAACCTAAAGGGGAAAAAAACATTGTAAATTCTGATTCAGTTTTATTTCTAAATGTGGTCAAATCTCTTTAACTGAACATATTTTTTTCTTAAGAGATCATTAGGGTCAAATTAATCTGTCACTCCCTGCACACTTAAAACTATCCACCTGCGTATATATGCTAATGAGGACACTTGAAACTTAAGAATACAGCCTATGCATTAACCTTGCCTTCTTTTAGTTTACTAATTTGCATTAAAGGTGCATTACTAAACATAAAACTGCAGTGCTACTTACTAGTATAAAACAAACTACACACTGCCTTGTCTAAGGGTTAAGATAATGGCACTGAAGTTACAAAAAAATGTGTTAATAATGACTCATTGTAAATGCTACATTTAATACCTTTAACCTGCTACTCTGTCCTGTTGGTTAGTTCAATACCTACCTGCGTTTGAAGGTGAGAACAACTCCAAGAAGGATGATGATGAACATAAGAATCCCAGCAATCACGCCAGCCATTTTAACTGTGCTGTCCACCTGTTTCTCTGGCTCCATAGCATCAGAGTCCTGCGTTGATGCACCTAAAAGCACACATATGCACACACAAACAAACAGGTATGCAGATAGTCACATTGGTAGGGAACCTTAAACATATTTGCTTGGCATATACATTCACACAGAAATGCTAATGTGCGGATGGACATATTCATTTGCATACAGCATTGGAAGTTCAATACGGTGAGCAGGTTTTGCAGGCACACACATTCACTCACACCATTGTGGTCAGAAGTTTACACAAACTCATCATGAGTCGTCGATTAATCATTTGGGGCTATTATTCTTTGAACTGTTCATTTTTTAATTTTTCCTCATGTTTGTATAGCTTTAATGTTTTCTTTAAGGTCCCTTGGAGCAATTTCTAAATAACTGCAGATAATAAGTTCACCAGTTTAAGCATCTATATGGAAGAAAAAGTTATTTAGATGTGCCACTACTTTGCCAAGGTGCGGAAAAAGACACAGCTGTCTTGGAAATCAGTTAGGATATTCAGAAACAGCACAGGAATCAAGGTTCAAACTAGCCATGAAAAACTGCTCAGATGTCACAACCCACAGTGAAGCTAGTCACTCTGTTGGATGGACTGAGAGACTGTTGACCAAGAAATAAGCCCCTGTTCAAAAATTGAGACATTCAAGCTCAATTGAAATTTGTAGCCAACACAAACAAGCCAATTGTCTTCTGGAGAAACATTTTTTGTCAGATAAGATTGCACTGTTGTCAATAATGAAAGAGGTATTTCTTGGAGGCTTTCAACCCTAATAACACTTTACCAGTTGTCATGCAAGGTGGTGGTAGCATTATGCTCTTGAGTGGTTTTGCCTCATGATGAGTGTATGTAAACCTCTGACCACTACTAGATCTATATGTATACAAAGACATCTTTATTGATGGACCCATATATCTAGATATAAAATGTGTACACAGTCGTACATATGCTCAAAGACAAAACATATATATGTTGGCAATGAAGGAATACTGGAAACACTGTATCCCAAGGTGAAGATAAATTAACACTGCATCCACATTAAAAGAGAATATAACCCATAAAATCATGGTAACAAAACACAAAAACAAAAAAGTAATAGGCATTGGATGAAATGTGATCATTTTTGTTCAAAAATGAAAATTTAAAGGAGAAATTTGAAATTTAGCATTATTTGACAATATTAGACAAGAATTTGTAATGACAAAGCTCACACTAAAATGTGTGAATTTTCAGTATGTCATTTTAAAAGCAAACATTATTTTCACAAATGTTTATATTTCATTTTAGAACAAAATGATTAGACATACTTTGAGTGATAACTGTTAAAAGGCTTTGTGTTCTTAAAAAGTAATAAGTGATAAACAATGGCATACAACCATACACAGTGTAATGAAGATGACAAACAGTGGATGAAGAAAGCATTTCATTGGCAAAAAAGTGGTGCTTCATGAACTGTTAATAATCAATAACTAATTACTCTCAAATTTACTACCCTTTCTGAGTGTTTGACAGTCTCTTTCAAATGTAATGCAGTTTTAAATTCAGTAATGCCTCTTACAGGTAAATATATAAAGCCAAAGAATAAAGGGAAATATAGGTGAAGAATAGTGGAATAACGTTTTAAAGAAAATTGTTTTTCTTAAACCATTACTGACTTCATTTCAAAGGACAAAAACAGTCAAAGGACAATGCACAAATGTGTAAGTCAGTAAACGACATCCAGGTTCATGGTCCAGAAATGTACATAGAAAACACAGTACAGACTGGATTTGCATCACTTTGAGTTACGTAAGGATTAAATAATTTGGCAAATTATGGGGAAACAAATGGGGAAACTTGGGGAAGGGGGATAAATGGTTTGTGTATATTGTTGATTTTACTAAACAAGAAAACATATTCAAATATATAAAGCGCTGCTCTCATTGTGTGAAGCCAAATAAAATATATTATTTTTATGATAAAAGAATGGTATGTAATATGAGTTACAGCTTAACCATAGTTTCCGTTAATGATAATACCACTGAATCTGATCAACACTGATGTCACAGAAGGTCACAGAGAGGCCAATGAAGTGTGTTAAAGGCATATAAAGAAAATTTCTTCTGATGTTTCATTCATATATATGAAATTTATATCTAGAGTTTATTTTGTAAAATGTTTTCAAATACCGTCTGTGCTGAACCACAGAAATATCAAAAAAAAAAAAAACTTAGTGTTTTTGGTCTGTCCTTTAAGACAGTGACACAAATGCACTCTCATTGTCAGTGCTTTTCTCAACTGGTAACTGGTTGCTAAAAATTATAAAAGTCAAAGATAAGTTCCTAGGATATTTTGTATAGAAACCAAAAGGTAACTGTCAATAACTTTCAACAGACTGAATGTCAAAAGGTCAAATCAGACATAAAACAAAGGACTGGTAAAATGTATTACTTAAAAACTGACAGTTCATAATAAAAAATACACTGGAAAGACAAAGACAAGAATCCCCAAGCTTGTGATCGTGCACATGAATGCCCCTGTCCTCGTGGAGACATATGCCAAACAGATTCTTGTTATAACCTTGATAGACAAAGACAGCCGATTAATAAAGTAATACTGCTGCGTAGGAGTTCAGTTTAATCCCCCGTCTCTCTCATCTTCGCCCCCTCTGCAATAACAACACAAGGTTGGCAGTGGAATGCACTGAGCTAACGGCTTAAGCACCTAACCTTGGCACACTCAGTAATAGCTGCTGCAGTCCTCAATTGCCGTGGTGAGGAGATGTTCTTTTAAAAACCCCGAATGCCTTCAATGACAACATATTCTCAGTCTTTATAGCTCAATCATTGACAGTCTACCTGTCGTGTAGCTGTATCATCTTTGAAGAAAAAAAAAGAAGAATGCATCAGTTATTCTCTGACAATTTATTGCTAAAAAGATTTCTTTGTGTAAGTTTAATAACACATTATTATGTTCTGCTTTTTGAACACTTTGAGTTTTCAAAACTTGTACCCAATATCGGCAGATCTGTTTTATGAAGAAAAAAAATGAAGAGATTTTGAAGGTCTTATAAATACAACATTTCAAGACTGAATTGTGTTCGATCTACACCAGTGTTAGCATGCTAACCCCTAGTACATCATGTGTAATACCGCCCCCACTCCAAGATGCAACTCTGAGTTACAATACTGGGGTGGTTTATGCAACAAGCTAATACTGCTGACATAAACAACAGTTATTTAGGAAATTAAAGCATCTTGGGCAAAGAATAACATGCCCTTCCAGAGACAATAGTGTCCCCCTAAAAAGAAAGACAATTTTTTTATATTCCTTTCTTTTTGTTTTTGCTTCCTCTTAACATTTTTAATCTTATATACTAGATTTTTGACTTTTTTCTTCCTAGAGAAACAGAAAAATCATAAAGGCACAAAATGCAAAGTGTAATTTTAAAAGACATGGACCTGTGATTATTTTTACACTTGTGCCACCCCAAGCAATCACTGTACAGAGGATAGTGGTTCTAAAAAGAAAAGATGCTTTTCCAGATATTGGAAAGGTGCTTTTAAGAACTAAGGGACTTTGCAAGGACGTTTTACTTGAAATTGCTTTTAGTAATAATACAATGTAGTAATTTTTAAACGTTTTTAAATCTTTGTTGGGATTGTTCAATATTTTGGAAGTGTTTATTATATTCACTATGTTGCATATGGCAATAATAATGAAGACAATAACAACATAATGTTATATCGAATGAACAACATCAGAAAATAGTGTTCATGGTACACTATCAAATAGCTTATAGCCCTGTAAACAGCAAAGGCTTAAGAGTTCAAGGTTCAACTTTTCTGTGTCTGTCAAGCACGTTATAGTTAAACCAAAGTCTTGAGCGATCATGCAAGAGACGAGTTCACACATTTCCCTGTAGTCTGTGCCCTGGTAATCACCCCACAGGTGTATCAAACCTCAATTTCCCCCCTGAGTGATCCACAATATGTATCACCTGACACATTTCAGTGTGACCCCATTTGTTCACACTTCACCAGCCCATGTGATGATTGGGTTCAATAGTTCATGATGTAACAGGAGAGGACCCCATCTGGTGATGAGTTCAGCTCCATTTAACATTGTGATTGGCCAGTTTGGGAGCCAATCAGGCACACTTAAACAGAGTTCTGACCAGGGCATAGAAGAAGTGATCTAATGTGACTTTGTCCATTACATGAGGGTAAAAGTTGAGATGAAGCAAATTGGAACAGCAAAATAAGACTAATTTCCAACTGGTGCAAATACAATATGGAGCAGACTATGGCCTCATTTATTTCTGTATTGTCAGTTTAAGGTAACAGGTGGCCTGTAAGTACATAAAATAGATGCATCCATCTTGCTTTCTTGCCACAGGTACTGGCAGGTGGTGTAGGTATTATTTTCTTGGCAGATACCAGGTTGCTAAAAAAGAGAGTTGGAACAGTGAAGAGCTTTGCATCGTGTCATAGTGTGTGAATGTCCTCATCTTTTCACAAACTGTAACTTTCTATTAATGAGTATCCTAAAATGTGCACTACCTCAAAAAAGAAACAAAAGAAAGAAAGAAATCTGGAAATTCTCACATATACTTATGTCTGCAACCTGAATATTTACAACATTAAATCACTCATCTGTGGTCTCATAGAGAATGGACTGAATTGAGCCTACATGGCGATGGCCACAGTAATTTTTTGTTATTATTATGTAATGTTAACTCAACAGAAAGACATGGAATATCAGAAAGAAAGATCCAACTGTTCTACCAGTAGCTGGATGGCTGTCTAGGTGCCTGAATTCACACCACCTAGTTTTCACAATAATAGGTTGTCAGGACTATACTGTAAGGTTTGGAAAAGGGTTACTGTGGTAACGCTAACACAAAGCATAAATACTTTAGATCGTGTATATAGGGTAAATTGCTGCAAAAGTGATATATCTTAAAAGCTATTGGAAACAACGAACCTTTTAATTGGAAGAACATTCAATTAGAAAAGAAGAATGAACTGAACATTTTGGTGCACAGTTATTGAA